ATGAGCATCTGGTTTTGGGACTGCTAAGATGCAAATGCTCAAGCTATGCAATTAACTGAATGTGCTCTCAGGGAAGCCACAATCTTCTGGACTATCTCCAAACAGTGGCTACCAAAAGTGTGTGATTTTCCAGCATTAAAGTGCACCACCAGCAAGAGTGCCTTTTGTCTTTGCTCGTATCTGCCCATCCACTTATCTCTCGGGCTCGAGTTAATGATGCCGCATATTAACAACTTGGTTGGCCACAAAGAAAACGTAATGGCTTTTAATTTAACAATTATAATGAGCAGAGCATGCATTCGAAACTCAAGTAGAAACTCAAGCAGTATAAATACAGGACACAATAAGGAAGTATGGAATACTCCTTTGGTAGAAGGGGCTTGTACAATATGGTATGTATATAATTTTGTAACTTGTGTAACTTTATGCTTTCGCTTGTTTGAAAATCGAAAATGTAACTGAGATTCCAGTGCGACAGTGGCAGAGTCCAGACTTGGACACAGAGATTCGGAAAAGAGCCTGCCCTGGCTAGTTCCCGAAATCATTAATTAAAAATTCCTTAATTTGCTTTCTGGCTAGCAGCGGGGAAGGGCACCAGACCCGAAGACCTGTAGCATGTCACCTACAACGATAATTGCTGTAGATGGGCCACTCAAGCTGGTCTGGGTTGTATATCATAAGTTTGCACGCGTTGGCTCCGGCTGTATTATCGGTAGTAGGAGTGGGTTCCGATCTGGGCTTATGAATACGTGCTCGCTGTATGTACCAAATCTTATTCTTTTTATTCGCGTGCATAACCTTGCTTCGACCGTTTAAGCGTTATGAGGATGCTAGGAGAACTACATATAGAATGGGAACTTAAAGGGAAGGGGAAACGAAACGACTGCAAGGCCTGTTAGCTGTGCAGGTGTTGTTGCAACAGCCAATGCCCACCCAACCTTGATCACCCCATTTCCGCGATTTTTTTTTTTTTGGTGTTATGGAATGATCCCTTTTCATTTAGGTTTACACCATATTCTTCCGACCAGGCACTCGCATGGCTCCTAATACGAAATTTAGCATGTATTCATGGCAACACTAAGATACTTTTAGAAATTCAGAATTATGCATTTATTATACTAAAAAAACGAACTAACTCTAACCGAGCCTAACACCCAAAGTTTGTACAACTAATTTCGAATTATAATAGGATTCATAACGATATATGCGTAGATTAAATAATAAATGGGTAAATGTATATAAGTTGTATGTAATGATGAATGAATGTAATGATAGTATAGAGATATAAAAAGAATATATGATACAAAAATATGAAATATTCAGATTAAATATGTAATATGAGGAACCTTATCAATAAGTAAATTCATTTTTTTTTTTTTCGAATGGTTTCAAAATTTCAAGAAAAAAAAAACAAGGAAAGCTTCGTGACAGAAGGTCAGGGGAGAACATGCACAATGGCAAGGTGCAGATGTAAATATTAGGGAACTCATTAATGGCTAAAGGCCAATGCAAAGCAAACGGGTACCACCTTCATTACTCTCAGGGCTTGATTTCAGTTTTTTTTTTTTTTTTCATCACTTACGATGTTAGTTACGTTGCTCCACGCAGAAAGATCTTTCCTTGTGTTAGCTGTGCTGGGATGAGTAGATGAATGGTTATATGAGCGATTAGATGAATGATGGTCTCTGTGAAATATAATAGTGTTAATACGAGTTCCCAAAAATATTCAAATACACTTAGACCTTGACATGGAGATTCTTTCATTAAACAAAAATTCAAAATTAAACTAAAATATGGTCATATCGGGTCCTAATTATACCCATATGATCTAGTACTAAGGCAGCCGAAACAGTTGCTGCAGCTTAGGGTGCAGAATCCAGATAATGCCACGTGAAGGCGTCGAGGCGTAGAGGTCAGTGACCTGCAGGCACTCCGGCGAGGCTGGCACTATGTGGCGGACATAGATGGTGCTGCGGCACGGCACATAACGGATCCAGCAACACCCTTCACTGCGACATGAAAGCCTCTCTTAGAGTCTTAGATCGTGAGGGCGCACAGTTCACCAGGTGCTAAGAGCTCCTATAGGAGGCTGCTCAATGTAGTGGCCAGCCTATCGGTACAGCCGGGCGTGGAGAGTGGCGATGGTTCAAAGGCAAAGCACGAGGAACACCCTTCTTCAAGGTTATGCACACACAGACGTTACTTGCAAAACGCAATTAGTGGTGCTAAGTCCTATATACACAGAGGAACACTTTAAAACCAAATATTGGGAGTGAGCGGCTAGATATTTACCCCCAATGGGAACTGCACCACTTTAAACGAAAACGGGGATTTCTTCTCCAGGGGGGTTGATACGAGCGTTGTGGCTGACCACGCAGGTGCTGCCGTGGTCTTGGGGTTAGGTACACCTCACGCTGCATCGAAAAATTTTGCGACAATTCACTTATTTAGACCACTGGATATCGATTAAAATATGAGCATACTCACAGATATAACCCGAATATGAATGGTTGGAAACTTTGTCTTTTAACTGGCGAGCACAACTATCTCAATTAATTCGCGTGGTGTCTGGCTGTATATAGGGTTAATATTCATCTATTATACAGAGCACCAGAATATCGCACTACTGAACTGTTTGACGATCACGAGGAGAAAGACAGACTCCCGGAACAGAATTGTGCAGCAGCCCACGTTTTTTTTCTTCCCTCCAGTACAGTACTTTTTGCCTTATACTTCGAATAAAAGCAATTTGCAATAAATATAAGCACAATGCAGAATCAAAACAACGGGATGGCGTTGCCACTTTTTGTCAAAACATATGCTTCGTCAAAAAGCTCTATGAAAGCTACTACGATCGGAAACCCATATTTTGAACGGCATATCTTCAGGCGGTTATTGAAATTAAACCGTTGAATTTAAAAAAAATGAAAATAGAGAAATAATTTCATTTTTCTCTATGAACAAGCGCACTACATATTCCCCCCCACTCAAATCACACTTGGGGTGGAAAACAGCAAAGTGGGATCCGCGCTTGCAATAGCTTGGGTCAAGGTTTTATATCCTTGGCATGAAATTTACCTACAAGACGGCCTTGAAGATCTTCTAATTCATAGTAGCAGTTTCCTAGTTTCCTTCGCACACGTGACTTGATAAAGTTTGGTGCCAATTTTGCACTAAAACCTTTCGCGAAATTGCTTTGCTGAAAGTTACGTCTGTATACTTCTTGTCCGTCCTTATAGTTAATTTGTCTAGTACGTAAGTTATAAGCTTTGGCATTACGCGAGTGCTGATCCTGTATAGAATCCTTAGCTTTGCTGCGAATTAGATCAAATGAATCTTCTCGCGAAAATTGAACGCTACGATCTTCTAGCATATCTAGGCTACGCAGCAGTTTATAGCTACTGGCATCTGTTATCATATGCTGTCCAAAGGCAAGCCGATACGGGGTATTTTTTATGGCCAAGTGATGGCTAGAACGTAGCGCACAGCAGATACTACTTAACTTCTCATCCCAATTAAGTTGATCCGGGTCAACATAACTTTTAATGGCAGAAAGGACTGATCTATTAACTCTCTCCGAAGCATTGGCTTGAGGAGAATAGAATGCAGTATAGGTATGAGAAATTTTATATTTGTCCAGCAGTGAGTTAAATGTTTGAGATTTAAATTGGACTCCATTGTCAGATACAATGGTTTCTGGGATACCAAAACAGTGGAAGAGCTCTTCTTCCAGATAGCTTTTAATTGAATCAGCAGTAAATTTTCGTACCGGCTTCAAAAATGGAAATTTTGACAGATGGTCTACGACGACAAAGATACCAACATTGCCTGACCTACTTCTCGGATAAGGTCCTAAAAAATCTACAAATAGTTTTTGAAAGAATCGAGAAGGCAATCCCGTATTTCCCATTGGGGGCTTTAGGGGTTGATTTGGATGTTTAGTGGCTTTACAGATATGGCAATTATTTATCAGCTTCTTGACGTCTGCAACCAAGTTGGGCCAATAATAAAATCGCCTGAGTCTTTCGAGCGTTTTATTTATCCCGCAGTGTGCACATAGGGGATCCTCATGGGCGGCTTTGAGAGCTGTTTCGACAAGGGTCGGTGGGATCCAAAGCTTCCAGCAGGAATCGTCTGAGATCTTAGCTCCATCGAAATGTTCCGCACGACGAAAGATGCGATCGTCTTTAATTTTGAGATCGGGCAAGCAAGAACTGTTTAAACGAATCTTATCCTTGATCGCCTGATATTCTGGAGATGCGAATTCCGGAGAATCAGGATCAACCATCATGCTATCAACCGACAAGAAAGACAAGTCTTCCGAGTGTATACGAGACAGGACATCGGGTACTATATTGTCACTGCCTTTTCTATGAAGAATTTTGAATTCAAATCCCTGCAACTTTAACGACCAACGAGCCAACCTTGAGCTGAGATCTGCTTGCGACATCAGCCATTTCAAGGAGGCATGATCTGTAATGATAGTGAACTCTTGGCCTTCAATGTAAGCCCTAAACTTTTTTACGGCTAACACCGCAGCGTAACACTCTTTTTCAGTTACTGTGTATTGCTTCTGGCACTTGTTAAGCTTTTTAGACATAAAAGCAATCGGTACTTCTGCACCATCGTTGTTTTTTTGCATTAAAACTGCGCCTACGCCTGTATGACTGGCGTCACAGTGTAATGAGAACGGTATCGAGAAATTTGGGCTATGTAAGACTGGTGCGGAGCACATTTGAGATTTTAAGGACTCAAAAGCCATCTGAGCATCGTCAGTCCAGTTGAACTTGCGCTTAGATTTCAGAGTATCTGAGATGGGTGCACTGATAGCTGCGTAATTGTGAATGAACTTGTGGTACCAGCCCGTCATTCCAAGAAATCGTCGAACTGGTTTGATCGACTGCGGCACCGGGAAGTCCCTAACGGAAGCTATTTTATCGGGATCAGTGCGAATGTTTCCACAACCAATCACGTGCCCTAAGTATTTAACTTCTTTTCGGCAAAATTTGCTTTTCTCTACATTTATAGTGAGATTGGCAGAAGTAAGTTTAGAGGCCACAATGGACAACACTTCTAGATGGCGTTCAAATGTAGCTGATATCACTAATAAGTCGTCTAAATATATAAAAATTTCATTCCGTAGATGGGCTGGAATAAGTTTATCCATGAGTCGCGACATGGTACAGGGAGCGTTGGTGAGGCCGAATGGCATAACTACAAATTCATATAAAGGACGGCCAGGCACAGTGAACGCGGTCTTGTCACGGCAACTTGGATCGAGAGGAATTTGCCAAAACGCATCCTTTAGGTCAATGCTTGTGACGAACTCAGCTTTCGGTAGTCTACTCAGAATTCCGTCTATAAGCGGCATTGGATAAGCATCCTTTACGGTAACTGAATTTATCTTCCTACAGTCTATACACAATCTAACTTTCCCAGGCTTTTTTACCAACACGACGGGTGAAGACCACGAGCTATTTGATTCTTGTATTACGCCAAGTTTGAGCATGCGGTCTAATTCTCCGTACATTAACTTTTCAGTGGCAGGTGACACTGCATAGTGGCGTTGCTTAATAGGTTTGGCATCGGCCACCTCTATCTTATGAGTGATAATAGAGGTCTTTCCTAAACCTTCCTTGGAGTATGATGGAAACAAATTAACTACCTCCTGTAGTAAAAGTTGCTGAGAAGGGAGAAGAGTCATCATTGTGGGATCTTCCAAAGTTTCAATAATTAAATTCTTTGTCATAAGATGCAAAGGTAGAAGATTAAAAGTTGTCCAAAAATCAATCCCTAGATAGAGATCACCCGTCAAAGAAGGTACAATATAAAAGCAAAGTTCCTTGGCTTCCCCTCTGTATGTGACTTTTGTGGAAACTTTACCAATTATACTTTGGCTTTTTCCATCTGCAGTTTTTACCTTCAGGGAAAGGGGTTTGTATTGAATCTTACTTTGAAGGACATCGGCAGCGCAATTTCCACCGATGCAGCTAACTGAAGCTCCCGTATCCATTAGACCTACAACTGGTTTACCGAAAAGCATAATCTGAGCATGGGGTCGTAAGTCATGAGGATTTCCAACTACAGAAGATAGGAGTAAACTTCTTTCAAGTCTAATTTTTTTCTTAAATTCGGTTCTTCGTCGCTGAGATCGGTTTAGTGGTCTAATCAGGGGATCAGCGTATACGCCGTTTGATACGTCCGGTATAATAATGTCAGTAGAATTTGGATAGTCATTTATTCGGTATTGGTCGCTTGATTCACCAGTTTGCGTGCACTTTTCGGTGGTGCACGCAACAGCGAGTTTTTTGCAGTGTTGGGGTTGCATTTTCTACAATTCGGCTTATACGTGTCTGCCCTGCCACAACCGTAGCAGAATATTCTACGTTCTTCTAGGCATTCTTGATAGCGATGGCCTTTGCCAGTGCAATTCCAACAGACGAACTCTACAGCGGAAACCTCAAGGTCTTCTTCTGCAGACAATTCTTCATTATCGGTCGTTATAGATGCGTCTAATATGGAATTAACTTGACGGCGTGGTAAGGCACGGGGAGCAGCAAGGGGAATCTTTGTTTTCGCTACGGACTGCATAAATATCTCTCGCGTACGGACAAGGTGACGCAAGGATTTTACATTCGCAGCCGACTCATACAAGATCTCATGCTGAATGTCAGCTAATAGATTTGCTCGTAGTGTCTCAACCAAGGCTGCCTCGGACATAGGCTCAGAAAGTTTGTCTGCCAACGCGGCAATAGCGCCATAAAAATCATCAAAGGATTCGTTTGATCGCTGCTTTCTTAATTCAATCTCCGTTCGGATATTCCTATCTGTTCGATCATCTTTAAACTGGCCACGTAAGGCAACACATAAATCCATCCAACGGACTTCAGGGACACTTTTATGATAGCGCCAAAACCATTCGCTGGCGCTCCCATCAAAAAGGTTACTAGCGTACCGAGCCGTTATCTCAAAGTTTCCGTCCAAAGTTTGCTTTGTCAATGCCTCAATACGATAGATAAAGTCTTCAATTGACATACTAGCCTTTCCTGTAAATCTCAGTTTCCAATTGGACATTATCTGGCTAACACGATCCGCACGAAGCGATGAAGCTGTTGAAGCGGCGGTCAGTCCTGAACCAACATTACGAGTTTGCCCTAAGTTCGAGAGTCCGGGTATAACCGGGGAAGGATTATTTCCCGATTGATTAAGCCCTGAAACTGGTATCTGGCCACTAGTGGAAAATCGGAAAAGTTGTTCCATTGTTTGCTGTTCGATTTCAGCTACCGGCTGTATTCGAACTGTATCTATGTTGGTTGACGGGACAGCGGGAGTACTTCGGAGTCCATCAGATATGGCTCGAACTAGCTGGCTAGTTTGATCAGCCATGCTGGTCGCCAGCACTCGAGTCTGTTCGACCATAGCCACTCTAATCGCTTCAGCGATAGACTGATGGATGGCCTCTGCCATTGTTGCCTGGCTCTGTTGTGTATCGCCAGAGACTTGAGACATATTGGCATCCTCTGAGTTTGACATCTCGGGACGGCTGGACACTTCAGCTTTCTTTCTTTGACTTCTAGTCTGAAGGGACTGAGAAACAGAAGGCATCCGTGAACTGGAAGTAGACGGACCACCGGGACTAAGATTCTCAGATGAAGCTGATATAATTTTTAGGTCTTGCTGACACTGTGGACACTGCTTTTTACCAGAAACTTTAGAGGTGAAACACGCTCTATGAAAACTATGCCCACAACTTGCCAATAGTAGTTGGGCCTGATAAACAATAATCTCTGTGCAAATTTGACAATATTTTCCAGTATCAACTGAGACCGATAAATTCTCCGTACTACGAGATACCACCATTTCGGTAATGAAACCAAATAAAAAAAATCAATAATGGGAATACAATATGAATAAGAAAGATAAAAAGATCAAAATCAATTTATATATGTAGATATATTCAAAATAAACTTAGGAGCCATGCAATCGCCTTTAAGTAAGAATAGAGTAAAAGAACAGATTGCAGTGTTTACGGGAGAGGAAGGGACAGAAATAGGGGTAAACTATTTGTAACTGACATCTGCATCCCAGGCTTAGTCCGCGGAAGGGCTGGATATTAATTATCGTAAATCCCTCATCCGACGAAAACTAAAAGGTCAGATCAACAATATAGTCTTTAATGCGGTACTGGATTGTATGAACCAACCATTAGGTTTAGAAGTCCAAAGTAAACTAGGCTTACTGAATCACGCGATTCGTTAATCTTCTCAGGGTTACTTAGGGACAACCAAAGCCGTATTAAGAAGGAACAATTTCAGTCAAATTTCTCAATCACGATTGGGGGATGCTGTCGTTTCCTGGTGTAGCTAGCCACTAGCTTAGTTCCTACTCAATATCCCCTACTGAGGTATAACATGTAAGGCTAAGCGTTGACCACGGAGTATAACCAATGAAAGTTATAACACTTCCAGTGTATAGGACCTTCCACACACCAGTATACCCAAATACGATTCTAGGCCATGTAAGCCATGTTTAGCTTACACGGATCCAAAGTATCCACTGGATAACCGAGACAGAAAACGGACTTTTGCCCAAACGATCTAGCAAAGGTGGAAGTCAGGTGTTACATATGACCAAAGTGTTTATTTATAATCGGGGCAGGCCGGATCGGGCCCCACGTTGGGCGCCATTAATAAGATAACTGTAGCATGTCACCTACAACGATAATTGCTGTAGATGGGCCACTCGAGCTGGTCTGGGTTGTATATCATAAGTTTGCACGCGTTGGCTCCGGCTGTATTATCGGTAGTAGGAGTGGGTTCCGATCTGGGCTTATGAATACGTGCTCGCTGTATGTACCAAATCTTATTCTTTTTATTCGCGTGCATAACCTTGCTTCGACCGTTTAAGCGTTATGAGGATGCTAGGAGAACTACATATAGAATGGGAACTTAAAGGGAAGGGGAAACGAAACGACTGCAAGGCCTGTTAGCTGTGCAGGTGTTGTTGCAACAGCCAATGCCCACCCAACCTTGATCACCCCATTTCCGCGATTTTTTTTTTTTTTTTTGGTGTTATGGAATGATCCCTTTTCATTTAGGTTTACACCATATTCTTCTGACCAGGCACTCGCATGGCTCCTAATACGAAATTTAGCATGTATTCATGGCAACACTAAGATACTTTTAGAAATTCAGAATTATGCATTTATTATACTAAAAAAACGAACTAACTCTAACCGAGCCTAACACCCAAAGTTTGTACAACTAATTTCGAATTATAATAGGATTCATAACGATATATGCGTAGATTAAATAATAAATGGGTAAATGTATATAAGTTGTATGTAATGATGAATGAATGTAATGATAGTATAGAGATATAAAAAGAATATATGATACAAAAATATGAAATATTCAGATTAAATATGTAATATGAGGAACCTTATCAATAAGTAAATTCATTTTTTTTTTTTTTTTCGAATGATTTCAAAATTTCAAGAAAAAAAACAAGGAAAGCTTCGTGACAGAAGGTCAGGGGAGAACATGCACAATGGCAAGGTGCAGATGTAAATATTAGGGAACTCATTAATGGCTAAAGGCCAATGCAAAGCAAACGGGTACCACCTTCATTAATCTCAGGGCTTGAATTCAGTTTTTTTTTGTTCATCACTTACGATGTTAGTTACGTTGCTCCACGCAGAAAGATCTTTCCTTGTGTTAGCTGTGCTGGGATGAGTAGATGAATGGTTATATGAGCGATTAGATGAATGATGGTCTCTGTGAAATATAATAGTGTTAATACGAGTTCCCAAAAATATTCAAATACACTTAGACCTTGACATGGAGATTCTTTCATTAAACACAAATTCAAAATTAAACTAAAATATGGTCATATCGGGTCCTAATTATACCCATATGATCTAGTACTAAGGCAGCCGAAACAGTTGCTGCAGCTTAGGGTGCAGAATCCAGATAATGCCACGTGAAGGCGTCGAGGCGTAGAGGTCAGTGACCTGCAGGCACTCCGGCGAGGCTGGCACTATGTGGCGGACATAGATGGTGCTGCGGCACGGCACATAACGGATCCAGCAACACCCTTCACTGCGACATGAAAGCCTCTCTTAGAGTCTTAGATCGTGAGGGCGCACAGTTCACCAGGTGCTAAGAGCTCCTATAGGAGGCTGCTCAATGTAGTGGCCAGCCTATCGGTACAGCCGGGCGTGGAGAGTGGCGATGGTTCAAAGGCAAAGCACGAGGAACACCCTTCTTCAAGGTTATGCACACACAGACGTTACTTGCAAAACGCAATTAGTGGTGCTAAGTCCTATATACACAGAGGAACACTTTAAAACCAAATATTGGGAGTGAGCGGCTAGATATTTACCCCCAATGGGAACTGCACCACTTTAAACGAAAACGGGGATTTCTTCTCCAGGGGGGTTGATACGAGCGTTGTGGCTGACCACGCAGGTGCTGCCGTGGTCTTGGGGTTAGGTACACCTCACGCTGCATCGAAAAATTTTGCGACAATTCACTTATTTAGACCACTGGATATCGATTAAAATATGAGCATACTCACAGATATAACCCGAATATGAATGGTTGGAAACTTTGTCTTTTAACTGGCGAGCACAACTATCTCAATTAATTCGCGTGGTGTCTGGCTGTATATAGGGTTAATATTCATCTATTATACAGAGCACCAGAATATCGCACTACTGAACTGTTTGACGATCACGAGGAGAAAGACAGACTCCCGGAACAGAATTGTGCAGCAGCCCACGTTTTTTTTCTTCCCTCCAGTACAGTACTTTTTGCCTTATACTTCGAATAAAAGCAATTTGCAATAAATATAAGCACAATGCA